AATATACGCATAAAAACTACTGAGTTACTACTTGTTTGATTATGTTTCACAGTACACTCTATCATTATAAAACTGACTATAATGTGATTTGTAAAATGTTTGATATATTACGCGCGCTCTGACTGCGTGTGACTGGCTGACGACCGTGTTCATATCAGAGGACAGAGACGCGGTTTACCGGCAAAATTTGTTTTTCGCTCGAAAAACGAAGAAACATTTTTATAAAAGAACTATAAAACGGCCTCTTATATCTATGTCTGATATAAACACGGTGGGAGTTGGAAAGCACTTGAGAGGCAAGACAAACAGCTTGCTCTAAGCTTGCTTCTCTCGTGCTTTGCTTTTCAACTCCCACCGTGTTTACACGCTTGCCGTTTTATATTTCTTAAATTAATAATATTATTGAACTTACCCATCACTTGCCTCAAACCAACAACATAACGCAAAGAAAACCAACCAAAAAATCTTGAAGTCAACCATTCTGTTTCATGCAGTTTGTCTGAGTTCTGATTAAACTCACGAGTGCTCAAGATATATATGTACATCAAGTGAACGGAAGTCACGCTCTACGTGGAGAGCATTAGGAAATTACTTCCTGGACCTGAAACCGGATGTCAACTAGGAAACGACGACTTGACATTGCTCTGATCACGATTTGCATTCAACTGGCAATGGTTACTTATTCCCACAAGTGAGCAGAAAGTTTGGTTGCTAGATTAAGTTGTGATTTAGATGCATTTAATGAAGAAATAATCAAGAGTATTAGAACGTATTTGGCATGTGAAAAATGGTGAAAAATTGCGCTTGACTTTTCAGATCAAACCAACTATGAACAACGTGACGTATCAAATTGGAGTGTTGTGAGCATTAACAGTCATATTTGGTGAGAGAGTATCGAATAATAAAGGAAGTTGATAGCACAGTCGCCAGTTCATGATAAGAAGCAAACCCACTCGTTAACCCATTCACCTTAATGGTGGGCAGTTTTGTAACTGTTTCACGTTTCCATGTGAACTGACTCTGCTGTTTAACCATAACAGCGGTTCTGTGCTAAATCAAATTGAGAACTATTGATGCTTCTCTTCGGCCAAAGAGATTGGACTTCTCAACATTTTAGGTGAGTTGTATTATCAAGTTTACAACTCTGTTAGACGATTAGTACCCTGGTTCCAGAGGTTTTCTCTTCTTTAATTTATAAATGTTTTTTTAGTATTTATCGTATTTTTGTCTTTGTAGTTTTTCCGATCTAAATCTATCCATATAAACCGATCGTTGCTAAAACTACCCACAAGTCACATACGACTACATACGAGTAACATACGACTACATACAGGTTACATACGACTACATACAGGTTACATACGAGTTACATACGACTACATACAGGTTACATACGAGTAACATACTACTACATACAGGTTACATACGACTACATACGAGCACAGAACTCAAAAATAACCTTGAAAATAATTTGTCTATATCTCCGGGACCCTGACAGAGTATCACGACTAAAACTATATCAGTCCGGGAGTCAAAATAATTCACCAAAATCACAGTAGAATGTAAATCCAGGCTAATCAAAAGATACTTTACTGTATTTAGGTGTAGAATAGTCTTCCTTTTGACCACATTCAGTTGGCAATTCAAAGCGTCTTCACCGCTCGATCGGCATACAATCGACTAGTTTCACGTCTCTGGACGAGCTCCCGTACAGAATTTCACGAGCGAAAAACTTTTGACTAAATTTAGTTGAGCTTACTTCATTCGTTGAAYAGAAAACGATACGAAAAAGAGAGTGAACTTTCTATAATTCGACATTAATGAAATTTTCCGATTATTTTTTTTTTTCGACTAGATTTACTCCCGTAAAAAAAACAAATAGTTTTTCGTGATATTCTGTCCGGGAGTTCGTCCAGAGACGTAAAAAAAACTTATAAGTGTCACATCGATTGTCAGCTGAATGTGGTCAAAAGGAAGACTATTCTACACAAATACAGTAAAGTATCTTTGATTAGACTGATTTGCATTCTACTGTGATTTTGGTGAATCATTTTGACTCCCGCGGACATACAGTTTTTTGTGATACTCTGTCAGGGTCCGGGACCGATGTAGACGAATTATTTCCAAGGTTATTTTTGTATTAAGTTTTTTTTTATTTCTTGTACTTGTATGTAGTCGTATGTAGTAGTATGTTAATCGTATGTAACCTGTATGTAGTCGTATGTAACTCGTATGTAACCTGTATGTAGTCGTATGTAACCTGTATGTAGTCGTATGTAACCTGTATGTAGTCGTATGTAGTCGTATGTTACTCGTATGTAGTCGTATGTGACTTGTGKGTAGTTTTAGCAACGATCGTTTAAACTAACTTCCCCTCCCCTAAGGTCGGCATATCGACGACAGTTTCCGAATTTGTTTTTCCTTTCAGTTCATTAATGAATCTGCGGATTTGACAGTCAGACAGAATACGTGTTATCCTTTTATCCGTTCCTCAGGTATAGTACGGAACGATATAACAACAAACATTCTGAGCCAGGAGAAATGGTTGAAATCGCAATAAAAGCCGTCCCAGGATCCACCGTATGGTCTTGGATGCCATTAAACGCCTTACAGGAAACACCGGATATCACTGCAGAGAACGTTTGCTTGATTTTGCACTTTTAAAGTAACTACTTTTTAATTGGCTGTCTTTGTCTGACGRTCTTGCTCGGGGATTTGAGTTTTTTTTAAATATGTATATTTCTTTGCAAGTTGTTTGGCTTTCGTGAGACACTAGACGTTGTCCCGGCCAGGCATGGGCTAGAATTCCGGTCATCACGTATTGCGCGTGCGCCGATTTTCTTAAACAAAATAGCGGCTACATTACAGCAAATGTATGGACGACAATAAATATTTTGAAATAAAATATATTTATTAAAGACATAACACAAGTGCGTAGTCATTCTAGTTTCTATAATGCATCTCGTTCATTCACCCCAACTTTCTATCTATAGGTCATGACCATAAAATGTTCACACAATGAACCACCACACTAAATATGACGCCATAATGACGTCATTTACATYGTTTTAACGATTTTTAATGCATTCTAGTAAACTGCCTACAATGCCATAGACAATGCTGCAATATCATCTCTTTATTATTGAAATGATATTTTAGCTGCTATTATAGGAGGCTACCGGTGCGGTTACTGCGAGCGAATTATGTAAAAAATTTTAAAGCGATCGTACAAAGAAAATGCAATAAGATTCAAAATTTATTTACTACAAAATACTCAGTACAGTCAAGTGTGAGGTATTCTACACTTTCAACATTACTCTCTTTCTCTCTCTCTCTCTCTCTCTCTCTCTCTCTCTCTCTCTCTCTTTGTGAAATCATCGGTTTTATTTAATTTTATCAACAGTTATAAAATAAAAAAACAAACAATAAGAAAAAAACAAAACGAAGCACTACTGTTGTAGAGGGCCGAAATATCATTGCTGTTAACGCAATATAGTTATGTTGTTCAACAATTAGATGTACATTCAAAGTTATTATTTTATCATCAGCCTGATGTAAAATTATGCCTATATTTTTGCAGAAAATCGATTCAAGTATTTGATTTCAGTCTCATTCCATCACACCTTCGCGAGCTGATTTCACGAGACTTTTGTAAACTTTTGTTTCTCAAGCCATAGTCACGAGTGCACCAATGTCACGCATCAGTCACGAGTTCTCATGCCGAGGTCATGCCTCAGTCATGCCTCAGTAACGAGTACTTCGTTGTCAAATCTTCAACTGAAGCAGACAGAGCAGTAGCTATTCAGTTCATTATCTGGTACAATGGCTTATAAGCACTTATCCCTCCTGGCTTTTCCTATATCTCTACTAATCTCGACTGTACTATGCCAAACTCCAATTCCTAAGAAGCCGCTTGGCTTTGTGTTTAACAATGGAAAGTCTAGTGCACCCGTTCATCTGGAAATCTACGCCGATTTAACKTGTCCTGACTGTCAGCAAGCATGGCCAACTATCAAACAAGTCGCTGAAGTTTACGGCCCTGACAAGGTCCGTGTGGTATTTCAATCGTTCCCTCTACCATACCACACCAACTCCTTTGTTGCAGCGCAGGTAATATAAATTGTTACGTAACTGTTGATGTTTAAGTTAAAATTTGGAATGGAATARTGGATTGTGGAGTAAGAATAAAATTGTGTAAGTGAAAGAGAAATAAATTATGTAGATAATCAGACTAATTACTGCTGATTATATGATTGAAAGGATGAATTGACTGGGAATGAATAAATGGATGAGAAAAAAAGCCGAGTAATGCTCACGAAGCAAGTCACTGGTAGAACATATAGAAGATTGCATGTGAAAATAGTGAAATATCAGTCGTGAATCCAGTATTCGTCATTGAAGGGGAGGGTGTCCTTACAAAATTCTCTTTGACGTTGACATGGCGTCACAATAATGTATTGTTTTAAAAAACAAAATGATTGATCATGAACTACAAGCTTTATAATTCTAAAGGAATACTTCATCAATGGTCATATTTCCATTTTTGTAACTCTCAAAAGAAATTTGGCTTAATTCAAATCGATTAAACACTCCGTGACCAACAGCACCCTGTAACTCTCCTGAGATCTAAATACGCCTCTGGCATATCGTCTCTATCGTTAAAGTCAACGCGAAATATATTCATATTGAGCAATTCTTCGTTTTCACTATACGTCACAGCGGCCATCTTGGATGAACTTCAACAAAAGATTTCTCATTAGTATCTATTGTTCATTCCTCCAACATGGCCGCCGGCCTTTTATCTTTTGAATCTCCTGGGAATGGTTGAAAAGGAGCAATAACTACAAAGGACTGTTTGGCCTTTGTTTTGTAGAGTGTTGCTGTTGCTGAAGGAGTCAATGCCACTCTTGTGTTTCCATGGATCGATGTTTTGTTCAAGAACCAAAACCAATTGTACAACTTTCAAACAATGGACAAGAATAGATTTGACATCAACAAGTGAGTGCTTTGTGTTCTTTTAAATAATCATGCGTACCAATATAAATATGTAGACAGCGACGACACTACAAAACTGTAAAGGAAATTTAGCGCTCGTACATCTTAGACCGTTGGTATATAAATTAGTAATTCCAGTCCAGTCATCCTGTGAAATTTTTTGGGTCGAGTTCAAACAAATTGTAAAAGAAT